CCTGGGCCGGGGGCAGGTGGAAGCGGCAATCCCGCGAATTCTTTTGAGCTAGGCTTCGTTGAATTCTTTTCGTGTTTTCCTCTCATCTTGCTTGTCTTTTTTGTCCCCACAATCGCTGACGTGGGATCGCTTGTCATGTGAGAGAGTGCGTTCTTGGGCCCGCGCTTTGTCTTTTTTCGGCCCGGCCGTATCTCTTAAGTGCCGGCCAGAAGATCCGCCCTGGGATCTTCGGCGCAGGGCGCCGTCACCGGCCCCATGAGCCGCCTGCGAGGCCATTCAGTGCTCATGTGGCACGGCCTGAGCAGGCCTAGCAATGCCTCGGGCCGACCGGCGCCCAGAATTGTTGGTGCTGGCCAGCAACGTGGCCGGCGAGTGCCGTCGTTGCATTGGTGGCGACCACCGCAGAAGCGGTCAGCAGGTGGGAAGGCATCGCTCTCTTTGTAAGGATATTGTCCGTATTCATTGTCTGGTCAATACTTCTGCCTGGATGGCACCTGTGTGCCCAACATGGCGATCCTCGGCCTCCCTCGTGAGTCCACCTCACGCTGATCATTCTCGTCGCTAGCTCAAGCCGAGAAGTGGTCCGCCGACACCAGGAGGAGCGCAACCATCATGGCTGCAGCCTCAGACTGACCGGGTTAGGTCATATCACCGGCGTGGTGGCCCAGAAGTGCGACATTTGCTGCCCGCAGAGCGCTAGCAGCCCACTAGCCGGCACGTCTGTGCGTCGTGCGGGGCTGAACTTCAGGCACGCTGCACGCGGCTTATCGTCGAGAAGAGCTCAACCCCGGCCAGTGAGTGATGGATCTGATCATAATCAATCCCTACTGTGCTGGGGGGCTCACAGATCAGCCGTTCAGAGCTCTGATATTGGTTCCCGGCAGAAGATCCTCTAGAGGATCTTCTGCGTCGGCCAAAAAACCGTGTTCAAACGAGACACAATGACCCAACAATGACCCCCACGGCCAGCCCGGACATGCATCCGACCCGGCCTGGCCAGCTGGGCCATCGGGGCGGCCGCCATCGGCCGTAGGACCGCGCTGCGGTGCCGAAAGGGGCTGGAAGATCCGCCCTGGGATCTTCGGCACTTACAGGTCCTGGCTTCGGTTTCGCAACAGCTTCGTTTTCACAACACGGCCGCCTCGCGACGCCGCGCCGTCGTGCAGATCGTGCCCGAGCCGTCCACAAGCCGCCGGCACATGTGCCAATGTGTGCCCGGAGCGCAGGGAGTCGATGGGTGCCGCAGTCCAAGCGATCACTGCACTGCAGTGCTCGCTCGCACTGCGGCGCTGCGCCACGGCGGCGAAGCATGTCTGGACTTCAAGGACAGTGCTTCTCCGCTGCTCGAGGCTTGCGGCAAGGTCCAGGCCGACCACACGGAGCACCCGAGGCAGCTGGCGTGGCCTCACTCATGACCTGTGCTACCCGTCGGCGGGGCCAGCTGCGGTTTCACAACACGCCTCATTTTTGGCACCCTCCTGCTAGCCGCGCATGAGTAGGGAGACCGTGTGTGGTGTCTTCGCGGCCTAGAGCACCCTCTTGGCAGTCTATATTCCGGATTTTAACCCTCCTGTCGCATCTGGTGAGCCGTACCATTGCGAGGACCAAACGCGTTGTGAAACCAAAGCCAGGACCTGTACAAACTCAAACTCAGACCTGTAAGAGATAGAGGCTGTCAGTGCGGATGTCATCCTCGTCGACCTTAGCGCCCGATCATCCCGCGGTGGAAAGGAACGCAACTCTTCACGCGCCTCTGCTCGCTCTCGCTAGTATCATCGACACCGGCGGCGGCCGTGCGGCGGTCGCTCGCACTCACGCCGCGCTCCAACTCTCGGCGCAAGGCGGCACGCGCGCAGAGCTCGAACCGTCGGTGTGGAAATTCTCCCTCGCGCCGGGCGAGTGCGTGGTCAACGGCAGCTCACGTCGCGCCGCCGTCACACCGCTGCTCGTCTCGCGCATCCTCTTTGCACTCGGTGCGCGAGGAGGCCACGCCGGCACCACCAACGAACTGACTGCCCTCGCCACTAACGGCGCCCCGCTGTGGCGTTGGGCGCCGCCTGCCGAGCCCGGCGAAAATGCGAGCTGTCCGCTGCTGCTCGCTGGGGAGGCGGGAGGAGACTCGGTTTACATCGCTACCGTGCCGAGCGATGCCGCCTCCGCCTCCGCCGCCTCCACCGCCTCGCTCTGGCGGCTGGGGGCCGCGTCGGGTGCCCTCGCCTGGAACGCGCCCCTCTGCAGCGCCGCCGCGTGCGTCCCGCTCGCCCTTGTGCCGTGGCCGGGCGGTGGCGCCGCTTCCCTCTCCCTGCTCGACGCGTCTCGCCTCGTCGCGAGTCGGTTCGCCGCGAACGGCTCGCGCCTCTGGGAGGAGGAGCTCCCTGTGCAGCGGCCTCGCGCACTCGCACTCACCCTCGATGCCGACGCCGCCGATGCCGACGCCGATGCCGACGCCGATGGCGCCGCCGCCGCCGGT